GTATGCGTCTATCATCTGATTCCGTTTAGACGGTATACCACAACTATCAACGTATCACGATCCAAGAATCGCCTAACAAAGTTGCAGCTGGTCGTCTGCCTCGATCGAAGGACTGTATCTTGCTTGGAGATCTTTGTGATTCTTGTAAACCTGGTGATGAAATTGTGAGTTGCTGAACGCGCTGTTTTGATTTTGTTAAATTTTTTTATTTGCAATTAGGAAGTTACCGGAGTTTATTCTAACAACTTCGACGGCGCTCTCAATTACAAGCAAGGCTTCCCCGTCTTCAATACCCTGATACATGCTAACCATATCACAAACAAGGATAAGATAGCCAGCAGTCAACTAACTGACGAGGATGTGAAGGTGTGACTCTTATTGACATTGCTGGCTATGATATATTAATCTTCGTTTAGGCTATTCGCGAACTCTCCAAAGACCCTCACATTGCAGAACGAATTTTTGCATCAATTGCTCCTTCTATCTATGGACACGAATACGTAAAACAGGCTGTTGCCTTAGCGCTGTTCCGTGGTGAAGCCAAGAATCCAGGAGAAAAGCACAGGCTAAGGGGTGGGTTATTTCCCACAGTGTGGTGCCTTAATGTAATTGCTACATAATTGCAGGTGACATCAACGTGCTTCTCTGTGGAGATCCAGGAACTGCAAAGTCCCAGTTTCTGCGATTTGCCGCTCACACAGCTCCTAGGGCTGTACTCACCACTGGACAGGGAGCATCTGCAGTTGGTTTGACGGCTTATGTGCAACGACATCCGGTTACCAGAGAGTGGACGTTGGAAGCTGGTGCGATGGTATGACTGCATTGAATTTTTGGGATATCATCCTATGCACTTTTATTTTTTCCATTTTTCATAATTCTGCATATTGGGCCTTTTTTGCCGAGGTTCAGCCCCACCCTTAGATCCATGTTATGTTTGGCCTACCTAGGTTGATTTGTTTTTTCTATCATAAGGCTTTGATCACTAAAATTGCACGTCTTTTTGAATTTAGAAGGATCAAAACTTATGCTCGAATTTGCTTTTTGAAGGTTCTTGCCGACAAAGGTGTTTGCCTTATCGATGAGTTTGATAAGATGTCCGACCAAGATCGAACTTCTATTCATGAAGCCATGGAGCAGCAGTCTATTTCTATTTCGAAAGCTGGTATCGTAACGTCCTTACATGCTAGATGTACAGTGATCGCAGCAGCAAATCCAATAGGAGGACGGTGAGCTGCTTGTCACTTTTGCAAAAAGCTCGTTTTCATATTTATACAGTTTAGTTACAACTCATCGCGTACATTTGCTGAGAATGTGGACCTAACGGAGCCAATCTTATCCCGTTTTGATGTGCTGTGCGTGATCAGAGATACAGTTGACCCGGTTGAGGA